TAATCTTCTCTATATTTGTCATCATAGGCCATTTATTTATCTTTCCTTTTCTTTCCTATTTTTTAATCTTTGCCGCTTCCACTGCCTATGAGCTTCTTTAGGGAAGAAACAAAACACAACGGTTCCCAATTATAGACATTAAATCAATTTTTATTGGGTGAATGAGTGGACAATAAATTTGCTCTTGAATCTGAATTGCTGTGCTATCCACTCTAAATAGTACTATGTTTATAACAACTTATTACTGTAATATTTATTGTGTAATTAATTCAATTGCTATAAGCTGTTGATGTGTTAAACTGTCATAAAAATAGAACTGTGAGCAGCCATCTCGACTCACCCAAACAATATTTTTATTCTCTTAAATTGTTTTAGCTAAATACTTCTACATCATGAATCTATACAAAAGACTTCAAAATAAAAAGAAAACACAAATGTACACATTTTTAAAAATTAGCATGACTAGAAATAGTAAGAGAGTTTCTTAACATGAAAAAGGCAGGGCAGAGCAACAGGGAAAATTGTGGGACAACTGCAATTGAACCACAATTTAAAAAAAAGAAAAATAGAACTAAAAACCAAAAAAGAAATAATGAGAAACAGAAAAATTAAGTTTAGGATATATATTTGGATACAAAGTTATGTGAAAATAATATAATTAATACCCAAGGAGTTTAAATTATACATATAATTTAAATGATTTCAAAAATATACCCAAGACAAGGAAGGAATAAAGGAATTAGTGTTCTAGGTTTCTAGCATCTTCTGAAAAAAATTAAAAATTAATTTCATTAAATTCTAATAAATCATGTACACATACTCTTATGATCTGAATGTTGGTGTCCTCCCCACTCCCAATTCATCTGTAAAAATCTTAATACTTAATGTGATGGGATTAATAGGTGGGATTTGATAGATGCTTTAAGGCTGGATACCTCATGAAAGAGATTAGTGCCTTATCAAAGAGGCTCCAGAGAGATCCCAGCCCCTTTCACCAAGTGAGGACACAGAGAGAAGGGATCAGCTCCAAACCAGGAGAAGAGCCTTCATCAGAAGAACGCATGCATGATGATGTCTTGATCTTAGACTTCCAGCATTCAGAGCTGTGAGAAATAAATTTCTGTTGTTCATAAACCACCCATTCTGTGGTATTTTGTATTGAAGCCCAAAAGGATTAAGACATATGGTGTAATGTTTAGGCAATAATTAAAACATAATGTAAGATTCCATTGATATAATGTTCTTAAAATGACAAAATAATAGAGATGAAGAACAGATTAGTAGTTGTAAGAGATTAGAGACATAGTGGGGAAAGAGTGAAGCTGGCATGGTTATAGGGCAATTAGGGGATTCTCATGGTGAAGAAACTGTTCTATACATTGACTCTGTTGGTGAATACAGGAGCATGCACATGTGATAAAGTGTTATAGAATTAACCATAATCATACATGAAAGCTGAATGAATGGTGGATTTGATCAATATCAATTTCTAAAATGTGGTATTGTACTAAAATTCTGCAAGATGTTACCATTTGAGAAAATAGGTAATTGGTAAATGGAATCCCTTTTATTATTTTTTAACTTCATGATAAATTTGCAATTAACTCAAGATAAAATATTTAATGATAAAAGACAAAAAAATAGAGTTAAAAAGAATACAAATTTAAAAGATAGATATTATCCCAAATTTTTCAGTAATTACATTAAAAGTAAATAGACTTAATGATCCAAATAAAAGGCTAAGATTGTTACTTTGGTTTAAAAACAAAAGAAAAAGAAAAAAACCAAACATATACAGCTCAAAAGAGATATATTTCACAGATTAAGACTTAGAAAAGTTGAAAAATGAATAAAAAGAAGTACAATCAAATATTAACCAACACAGAGCTGGTATAATTATCCTATTATTAAAGTAAACATAGAAGCAAAAACATTTCCAGAGATGCAGAACATTTTATAATAAAAGGTTCATACTTTAGGAAGTTTCAAAAATCCCTAATCTGCTAGTACCGAATAACATGAAATTTAGTATATACAGCGTATATTGATACAACTGAAATAAAAAATACATAAAACCACTATCTGCGGGAGATTTGAATGGACTTTTCTTAATATCTAATATAATAGACAAAAACATCTTCAATGATACAGATCAGAACTCCTAGTGAACAAAAGTGACCTCTTGAAATATATAGGACACTACACTAAATAAATATTTTAAGTGCATATGAAACATTTGCCAAAATTATCTATATATTGGGTAAAATCAAGCCTCAAAAATATCAAAAGATTGAAATCATTCAGGGTAAAATTATACTAGAAAGCAACAACGAAAAAGATAATTAAGAAATTTTAAAATAACTTAGTATTTTGCAATACATTTTAAAATAGTCCATGGATCAAATAAGTAATAAAAATTAGAAAATATCAATAAACACATTTTTCTTTTTTATTGTATTTTTTCCATTACCATTTAGTCCCTTTGAAAAGACATGAATATCAATACTTGTGATCTTGCAATTCTGGCCAAGAAGGAGTAGCCACATTTTCCCCAGGTGTTTCCTAATACAACAAAAGAACATTGGACATAACCCAACAAACATAGGTATTCTCTGAAAGGTACAATGATAAAGCTGACTGCCAGGGACCTCAGGACCTGAAAATGACAAATTGATAATTCCCCTGGGTTTCCTTACTCTCTCCCACACATCCTAAATATATCCTCTGGAAGCCTTTAACCCATAATCACCAACAGCAATACCAAAAAGTGCTCCAAGGAAAGCCTATTTTCTCTTGTTAAAACACTGGGAAATAAGTGGGCTAAAAAAATTAAATCTTTTTGCTAACCATCCCTAATCTAGTCAAACATCTATAGAGAGAAAGGCACTGTCCCCTTCCCCCCAATGTTTCAGCAGAGGTGAACAGGAATCTGGTCTTCCACCCATCCTCTAATTCCTCCACCTGATGGTGTTCAAGGGGCAGGCACGTTCCTGATCTTCCATCCCCCACCTGGAAGAAGGAGGTAATATCCAGTTCCTTTCCAGTGTAGTGTCAGTGGGGTCCAGTGGGGAGCTGAACTTCCACCTCCATCTGGCAGCAATTAAACTGAGGGAGGCAGTATGAGATGTGGCTAGTCAGTACTCGGCCACCCTCCACTACTGAACATCATGACCCAGTTGGGAGATGAACATCCAGTCCCACCGGTCATCACCAAGATAGAATCAGGTGATGGGAGGTGAGGCTGATTTCCCTCAGCTCTTCCTCCATCCTCTCCCTTCTCTCAGCATGGTTCTGTGGTGAGCTGAGGTTCTACTATCACCCAGTAGAAACAAAACAATGTAAATCAGCTTCCCATGTCCACCCTCTCAGGTGCCAGCAGAGTCAAGGAAGAAACTGAACTGACACCATATTTTAAAGTCCTGAAAAAAAAGGATTGTCAACTACAAATTCTATAGCCAGGGAAACTATCCTTAAGAATGAAATTAAAATAAAGATATTCTTGGACAAAGAAAAACTAAGATAACTTGATACCAGCAAATTCACCTTTAAGGAGTGACTAAAAAAAATTAGACAGAAAATGTTTACAGAAGGCTTGGAAATTCAGGGGAAAAAATAAGTTTGGAGTGGGTAAACATTGGGTTAAATACAAAATGTAAATTTACAATTGTTCATATGAAAATAATATAATTAATAAATACTAATAAAAGAATAAACTGTATTTCATGAACTCACAACTGCATACTTACTTTTGTTCCACCTTGCATAGATTACCCTTTTTGTATGAGTTTTTGAAATTATTTTAATAACTAACACAAAAAATCATGTCACTTGATAGGGTGCTTGATGTAGGTACAAAATTAAGATAATTATACTTACAAATTGGGGAGGATAAAAAGACCTAAATGGAATTAATCTCGAAAAGTTAATGATCAAATGAGGGTTTGGCAAAACTGTGGCTTATGGACTAAATCTAGCCTGTCATCTCTTTTTATAAATAAAGTTTCAGTGGAAAAGAGCCATGCCCATTCATTTGTATACTGTGTATAGCAGTTTTCATTATAAAAGGGCAGGGTTGAGTGGTTGTAACAGAGACATTAGAGCTCTCAAAGCCTAAAATGTTTACTGTACCATTTTTTATAGAAAACTTTCTGGACTCCAAGAACTTCCATCTCAACTAACTAAAAACAAAAAATCAAACCAAAGAGTTTCAGAAATGGAAACAATCAAGTAAGCAGCAGAAAATCATGATTTACAATATGTACATGTAATAAAGATTTTCAACAAAGTACCAAATCAGTCCATTGAAAAAAGAAATTTATGAAATTTACAGCCCCCTAAGATAACTGAGCAAGATTAAAAAAAGAAATTTCAAGAGTGAAAAGGAGCCCTAGCTGGTGTGGCTCAGTGGATTCAGCATTGGCCTGCAAACCAAAGGGTCACCAGTTCGATTTGCAGTGTAGGGCACAAGCTTAGGTTTCAGGCCAGGTCCCCAGGAAGGGGCATGGACAACTCAACCACACATTGATGTTTCTCTCCCTTTCTCCCTCCTTTATCCTCTCTAAAAATAAGTAAATAAATAAAACCTTTAAAGAATGAAAAGGAAGACATCACTAGTGTTCTTACACTTATTTAAGAAGATAATAATCTGAGAATATTATAAACTACATGAAAATAACTTTTGCTATTAAGTAAATTATACAATTTCTTTGAAAAAATAAAACATTAAATAGAATACAAGAAATACAAAAATCCAATAAAACTGTATCTCTTAAAGGCACTGATTCCATTACAAAGTTAGAATTAGAGTTGAGGTTGTTTTGTTTTTTTTCCCCACTAGATTCATAAATGTTTTACTGTATTATACTATTTTTGTCTAGTTCTTCTTCCTACTATTAAGAATATGATGAAAATAAGAATCATAAGGCATACTATGTTAAGAGTTTGACTAAATGTCTGTTTTTCAGTCAACAGAAAATCAGAACTCAGTAACATGAACCTACCGACTCAAATCTGTCCCAGGCACATACTGAGAGAAACGACAATGAAGCAAAGGGATCAGTCTAAGGTCACACCATCGCTTTTCCCATCTCAAGCCTGGAGATGTTGGCCATGAAGAACATGATAATGTGTCCTGAAAAGAATACCAACATTCAGTATTGTTATTTTTATCTTTTTGTGTTTTGAGTTTCTATGTCACAAATTCTTTTCATCTGAGGTATATTTTCTCCTAAATAATCAAAAGATATTTACAGATTACCACAAGAAGAAATCTATATGCATTGACAATAAAATTGTATTTGTTCACTTCTTTATGAATTGAATTCTTAAGAAAGTGGAGTGTGTCATTGAGATAAAGAATGGTAGAAAAACATTAAAAAATGGAGTGGGAGACAGAAAAAGAAGTAAATGTGTGAAAGAACTGAGTGCATCCACAAATGGGAAAGATGGGACAGAACTGGTAATTGCAATGAACTCGTAAGAGACAAACTAAAACAAGCTGTACTTAATTCAATTAGCCAGTATTTTCTGAGTATCTGGTAAGCACAAAACACAAGTGTTTCTGATTTATCAGTTACTTGCAAATATTTCTGAGTATAATGAATTATCTTATAAGGCAACTTTTAAAAACTACTCAAATATTTGCAGGCCCATTGTTGTAACGTCATGTTTATAAAAATATATTTTATTGTATTATTAGATAATATACCGCTGATTTCAAATTACATATATTTTATGTTTTATTAGAAGTTTGGATTTTTTCTTTATGTATAGAAGAGACAGATTTAAATAAAATTTGAGCTTTTCACTTGATGTTGATTTATGCTTGTATTATCTGAGGTTCACTATTAAATTTTCTTCATGGCACTAACACATGGAATAATGTTGATATTTAAGTTGGCATGGGTTGTAACAGGCCAAGGCTTAATTTGACCATGGAACTGTTGATACTGATTTCTCTATTCTAAATCTGAATAATTATATTAGAAAGAGGTTCTATTTTAATCACGTAGAAACTGTTAGTCTATTATTCACCTTTTCTTTCAGATATTAATTTATTTAAAATTATTTATGGAATAAAAATGACAACTCTTATTATTATTATTATTATTAAAGGTCAAATGTTCCTTAGCATTATCATGCTATTTGTAACCAATTGTGGGAATATAAAACTATTAAATCCTTAGAACAGTTTGGAACACTGAGAAGGGTGAACTAAAACCACTCAGTGTGGAGCCCACTACTGGTGTTTCAGTAAGCACTTCAGCTTAAGACACCTATCCTTTGATGCAAGACAGTTGCTTTTAATGCCTGTCCAGTGATGGCAAAAACACAAACAGAGGTTTCCTGTTAATCTTTTCCCTGGCCTTCATGTCAGATGTTGTAGACGATCAGCATGGGGTCATTTGGGCGGCAGCACAAGGAGATGAAGACCAAGGCTCCAGATCAGAATCAGACCACCTGGTTTCAAGATACCAGTTTCCCAATTAAATAGTCCTTTAACCTAGGAGCAGGTTATGTGAACTGTTTGTGCTTTATTGTGCCTATTTCCAGATATAAGGCTATCACAAGACTCCTCTAACAAAAAAATAAAAAACCCTAGAGCATTTTTAGATGCATTAGAATATTGTTTCCCCACATTTTCTATGTAAGGCATTTGAAGAAACAATAATCACTTGTGACACACTATGAGAAACAGAATAGGTTACTGTGGTCAGGCCAGAACTAACCATATGTATCTTAAGCGTCTCAGGTCACACCAAGCTGTAAAAAATTAGGCCCAGTTCTGCAGTCAATAGTTGATCTAAGTCATCCAGCCAGCAAATGACAGTGTCAGCATTGGCACAGTCCTACATTTTTTCTAATTCGAGGGCCAAAACATCTATCACAGCACATTTAATATTTATAAACAGAGGTGAAACTATGAAAATGATTCAGATTTGTATCTCAATTACTTTATAATTTTGCTATGTGAGTATAGACAAATTATTTAAATATGGCTCCTCATCTTTCTTGAAAAGCAAAATTAATATCCCTTACTTTATGTCTATAAACAAATGGGATAGTAAATGTAAAGGAACATAACAGACATAGGCAATGAATATTACAGACAGTGATAATCACCAATAGATGAGTATAATGTTTTACAAATTTATTTTATAGATTTCATAGATTGGTAGACATGGAAATGCATGTGATCCTTTACATGACTTTAATGTAAAATCTTGGTTTGGTGCCTTTAGGTACCAAAGTTGTGAAATTTCACTTTGTTTTAGTTTTTCTCCTTACAAGAATATGAATAAGCCCCACTTCAGCTATTGAACTAATCGGGTTAATATATTTCATTTTATAGGTCTGTTATTTGTGATTCTACTAATAATTTTAAAGATGATTTATTTTTATTTTAATTATGAAAATGTAATATAAAATTGCCATCTAGTTTTTTTCTGTAATAGCAGCCTTCAAGTTATTTTAATTGTATACAAGATAATCTAAAAACAAAAAAAATTGTATTATTTTAAGGCCTGTAACTACTTTTCAAGAGTTTTATTCTTCAATGCCAAAAATATTGTTTCTGATGTTATTAATAATACGAATGGGGAAAAGTAGCATTTACATAGTAGTTGCTTTAAAATATTTTCCCCCAAAACTTAACACATTTCAAGGTATATTGCCACAAAATAAACTTAAGAACATTTATCTCACCAAAATAGAATTGTATTGATGGCAGAATGCCAAGATTTTGTTAGGGACTTGGCATAAAACATATTCATTAAGTATATAGTTATGAAAAACATGTTTCTAAACACCTGGCTAAATGATTATCTGAATTTAAGTCTCCTTGTGAACATAAAGCTAATTACTTTTGTCTACCTTGGCTGGCAAACCAATTGACTCTATACCCTAAAATTGATAACCTAAAATCCTTAGGAGGTCTAGACTATATTTATTAAGTGAGATAGTGGAGCAATGTTAATATATTATAAGGTGTTATTTTCCCTCTTGCTTACAACGCTGTTTCCAAAAAACAGAACTGGGCTTGCTTACTTCAAATTTGCTTCAGAGAATAATTAAGGCAGAGGAATTAAAACTGAAGTTACCTGGGCCCAAAATAGAATTGAGGATTTAGAATATCAAATAATTAAATATTTCTCTTAAGACCTTATTTAATATGTGTACATTCTGTGGAAAATATATTTTTAAATGCATGCTTCCTTCCAAGTTTTTACTGTTTATTGTTATTTAGTGATGAGTTAGAAGTAAACAAGTGCTTAATTGCTCCTAATTTTATAAATCCCTGAATGAAAATATCATCCTTTCTTCACACCTGCATCAAAACCTATTCAAGACGTAGAACAGAAATACGGAAGAGCATGAGCTATATAAGTCAGTGTGATCCCGTCAGGCTTGGAGGTTATTCTCTGATGAGCAATAGTCCCTAAATTTTGTTGAATTAAATTAAGTCAGTTGTATAAAAGTCTCTGGTAGGTCTTTACTCTGATATTAGAATGCTAACATCCATTATTCTTTTTCTACTCAAAATTAATTTGATGCATTTGTATATAGATCTGAATTTTAAGCTTTTTGAATCAAGAACCATAATTAACATCTCACCCTAGTACCTAGAAGAGTGTTTCCACAGAGTAAGCTCATGGCAAATATTTATTTAACTGAAATTCATTGAGACTATTTTTATCTTTAATATATATACTTTATTTGAATTTACATTTGTCTTGTTATCATCTAAAATCATAAGTACCCTCAAGCTTAAAGATCTTTGACAGCATCAAAGTAATTTTTAATTTTAATGCTAAAAATAAATGTGCCTTTGAAAATGGAAAGACATATTTCCAGTAAAAGATTTTCTGACAATTTTTAAAAAAATTTTATACAGCTGGATTTGTTTAGAACAATTATGTTACAGAATTACTCAATAATTGTTTTTGCTTTATTTATATCTTTCTAAATAGAGGCACAACATATAAAATTAATGCCACAGATATTTTTATATGCCAATGAAACGAGTTAAAAACAAACCAGAATGATTCTTACCCATAGATATTTCATTCTGACTTCTCTACTTTTCATTATTATAGTATAAAAATATTACCAAACAGTCTTCTCCAACCAACTCATCCAAACCAGCTCTTCCTTCCTGTCTTACCAGCAGAGCTGACAGGGATTCTTCTGTGAATGTCTTGTGAAGGGAAAGTTCTCAGGAGAAACCTGTCAGGACTGAGGGAAGCCATGGGTGAGGCAGGGAGCAACCTGGCCAGAGATGTGGTCTGGGGTTGGGGGGTGGCTGCCAAGGCTCTGTGAGGACGCCTGCCTTTACACCCTTATCACCTATCACAAATCCCTGGCTGCAGCCACACTAGGGTGGGGAGTGGTGACCCCTGATTGGCAAAATATTTTTCTCACAAGAGGGGTCAACTATAAATTAGCAGCAGCAAATACTGACAGCTGCTGAGGGTACACGTGCTAGCCCAGTAAAGGAACTGGGTGGGCATCGAAATTATCAGAGCCTATAGAGTGTGAGGGGACAGGTGGTCAAAGCAGTTGGTAAAGTAAAAGGTAAAGATAGGTAAAGATTTAACTGGATATTGTAAGTCTAGGGAATTCAGAAGGGAGCTGATGGAGCACCGAGTGTATAGATTCATTTTCTCATTAGTCAATGTTTAAGTCATTTTCCTCATTAGACCATGTTAAGATACTCAGATCTTACCATCTTCTGAAGATTAGCATTTTAATATTAGCTCTTGTGTGACAATTATTTCTCTGACAATAAAATTAAAAATAAAGTCAACTTAAATATTCTCAGATGTGGTTAGTTTATACTTGTGGAAGTAATGCTTGGCCTTGCCAAGGATCTTCAGGAAATAGATAGATTATAGATGATGATAGATAAATGATAATGATAGATGATGATGATGATAGATAGATGATAGATAGATAGATAGATGGATAGATAGATAGATAGATAAAAGCACTTGGGGACCTAAGGCACTCAACCACATAACAACACTGGTGCAGTCAGGTACAGTGAAAGTCATTCAGATCTAAAGACATTCAAAAGGATCATTTTGAAGTAAAATGTTGCAATTAGGTCAATAATTTCAAATGGAAGATGAACCATGTAAGTCAAAAGTAGGTGTATGTCCCATATATCCCAATATGTGGAATGAAAAAATAGAAGCCTTTTAAAGTTAGCTCTGCTAAACTTCATGTTTGTGAGTATAGTGGAAAATTGTTAGTTTTATATATAACCAGAAAGAATTGTTTTGTATTTAGAATGTGTGAATGTTTTAAAGTGTGAAATACATGAAGCTTCAAAAACTATATATAAAATTCAAATAAAAGCTGTTTATTCCAAAACATAACTGAAAAATTTAAAAATAACATTCTATTAAATATATATAGACACACATGCCAATTTTATCAATTATTAAGTACATGTATAGTTTAACACTCATTACATTTAACATATTGTATAGATTATTTCCTCACCTTGTATTAACTCCCTGGTAAGCACAAAAGTTTCTAAGAAATCCTTAACAATGACAAATGAAATAGCTACTTTTAGCTAAATAATTTAAATAGAAAAAAGGTAAAAATCATAACAAATTATTTAGAGCATGAAATTACATATAATATGCAGTGTTACAAAATGATTATAAGGCGTCATGAATGACCTCTTGAAGTTAAAAGTTTCTATAGCTTAGAGATTTTGGAGAATAAAAAAAGACATTAAAAAAATAAATGACCTACTTATTTTTTCCTTTCTGGCTTGTCATAATACTTAAATGATGAAGCAACCAAGGATTTTTAGCAAGATTCAACAGCAGGTATTTCAAACTATAAGTATACATATTTTGAGGGGCTTCCTTCTGTTAATCTTATTAATGTGAACCATGCTTCAGTCTTACTGTGTTGTTGGGATGGTAGTTGAGATGTAAGCCACTGTCACAAAGAGGAGAGGACGTGCCACTACTCTGGTCACTTGGTGCACCTACAGGAAACAAAGACACAACACCCGACTGGTCAGAATGCCAAAGAGCTCCTGACTAACACATTCTACATTATTATATTTCATCAATTATATCAATTAAATCAGGTAATAAAATGAATTTTTATTTTACTTATATCAAAGCCAGGGTTTTGCAAGTAAGTTAACTGACTAAAGTTATTGGGGCACTAAAAGAGACTTGGAACTACTAATCTTTGATTTCAGAAAAATTAAGGCTTTATTAAAGAAAACAAACAAGTAATATTTTATTTTATTATCCAAGTGGGCTATTCTTATGAACCATACTTATAATAGTTAATAGTGCAGGATTCTGTCTTTAAATTTCTACATAACAATTTTGTTTATAAATTTCTCCAACTTTGTTTATAAATTTTCCATGTTTCAACCTACTGCTAAATCCTATCTTTAGATACCATAATATTCCATGGTGCAAAAACAATATTTTCCTGTGGGTTCTTGGTAAATACTATAACTGGAAGTACCCTTTTGACAGTTATCTACTTTTGCAAAATGCAACTAAAATCTTAATAATACTAATATCTATTTTTAAAACATAAGTTATAGATGTTTTAAAGACTGTTGACTTTTAATTAGTCCCTTCCCCTTCTTTCCACCATTAAAACCCTCCCCCACCCCTCTGGTTGCTGTCAGTCTGTTCCATGTTTCCATGTCTGTGGTTCTAGTTTGTTCATTAATTTATTTTGTTCATTAGATTCCTGTTATAGGTGAGATCATATGGTATTTGTTTCTCACTGACTAGCTTGTTCCACTTAATATTCTCCAGTTCCATCCATGCTATTGCAAAAATTAGAAGTTCCTTCTTTCTTTCTGCTGGATGTACTCCATTGTGTAAATGTACCCCAGTTTTTTGGATCCACTCATCTAGTGATGGACACTTAGGTTATTCCCAGTACTTGGCTACTGTGAATAGCACTGCTATGAGCATAAGAGTGTGTAAGTTTTTTGAATTGGTGATTCGGGATTCTTAGGGTATATTCCCAGCAGTGGTATCGCTGGGTCAAAAGGCAATTTCATTTTTAGGTTTTTTGAGGAAATTTCATACTGATTTCCATAGTGGCTGCACCAGTCTGCATTCCCACCAACAGTGCACTGGGGTTCCCTTCTCCACATCCTCGCCAGCATGTTTTTTGCAGGTTTATTGATGATAGCCATTTTGAGAGATGTGCGGTGATATCTCATTGTGGTCTCAATTTGCATCTCTCTGATAACTAGAGAGGTTGAGCACCTTTTCATATGTCTGTGGGCCATCTTTACATCCTCCTTGCATAAGTGTCTTATTTAAGTCCTTTGCCCATTTTTTAATTGGATTGTTTGTCTTCCTGGTGTTGAGTCATATGAGTCTTTATATATTATGGAGATCAAACGCTTGTCTCTAGGTATCATTGTAAATATGTTCTCCCATTCAGTCGGTTCCCTTTTCATTTTAATGATGGTTTCTTTAGCCATGCAAAAGCTTTTCAATTTGATGCAGTCCCATTTGCTTATTTTCCCATTATTTTCCTTGCCCTTGGAGATGTATCATCAAAAATATTGTTGTGTGAGATATCTGAAATTTTACTGCTTATGTTCATCAAGGATTTTATGGTATCATGGCTTATATTTAAGTATTTTATCCATTTTGAGTTTATTCTGGCAGTATGGTGTAAGTTGGTGGTCTAGTTTCATTTTTTTTTTTTTGCATGTACTAGTCCGATTCTCCCAACACTATTTATTAAAAAGGCTATTTTTACTCTATTCTATGTTCATGACCCCTTTGTCAAATATTAATTGACCATAGAGGCATGCGAGTATTTCTGGGCTCTCTGTTCTGTTCCACTGATCTATGTGTCTGTTCTTATGTCAGTACCAGACTGTTTCGATACCAATAGTAGAAGTACTACTGGTACTTGTAGCTTGTAGTGTAGTTTGATATCAGGTATTGTGATCCCGCCTACTTTGTTTTCTTCTTTCTCAAAATCATTGAGGCTATTCAGGATTTGGGGGGAGGGGTGTTTTTTTGTTTTTGTTTTTGTTTTTTTGGTTCCATATAAATTTTTGAAGTATTTGTTCTAGATTTGTGAAATATATCTTTGGTATTTTAATAGGGATTGAGATGAATCTATAGATTCTTTGGGTAGTATAGACACTTTAATGATGTTAATTCTTCCAGTTCTTCCAAATGGAATGATATATGCTTCCATTTGTTTATATCTTCCTTAATTTCTTTCTTCAGTGTTCTATAGTCTTCCAAGCACAGGTCTTTCACCTCTTTTGTTAAATTCATTCCTATTAGTCTATTCCCATTAATCACAAGTGTCCTTAAAGGCATCTAGAATGGTGAATCCTTTTCATAAGGCTTTCAATTTACTTTCAAGATCCATCAGAGTAATCACTATTTATGGAAACTATAGCTTTATGAAATGTATTTCATTTCATACAGAAAAGAATAAGCATTAATAGCAAAAATGAGCAAAAAATGGTAAATTAGACTTTATCAAAATTAAAAACTGAAAACCTAATACAACTTTATGTAAAAAATATAGTTATATACCCATGGAGTGAAAATGTAAAACATGAAGCTGACAAAGGTTTATATACAGATTATATCTTTAAACTTCTGCAGTGTGGTAATAGAAAGGCATGACAATAAAAAAATTGGGAAAAAAATAGAACAAACACATAACAAAATAGGATATGCAAATTGGCAATAAAGTATGCAAATACCATATTATAAAGAGCTAATCATCATTAGTCTTCTGAGAAATGTAAATTAAAACTACAAAGAGACACCACTACACATTCCATATAATGGTGAAAAATCTTTGACCATCAAATATTGGAATAAATGTACCCAACTAGAAGTTTCATAAGTTGCTGGAGTAGGAAGTAAGAGGTCTTGAAATATGTGCTTATTTTAGAAATACTCTTGGCAGTTTATTAACAAGTTACTTATATATCTATTCTGTGACTCAGCAGTTCTACTTCTTGATACTTATAATTACGACATAAAATTATAAGACCTCCAATACCTGTATAAGAATGTTCATAGCAGTTAAATTTACAATAGCAAAATACTGGAAACAGCTCTATTGTCTATAAACAAAAAAATGCATTATGAAACTTTAATATATTTATATAATGGAATATTACATAGCAAACTAAATGAACAAACTATTGAAATATATAACAAGTGCTTGTATATAACGGAAAAAGCCAGACACAGAAAAGTAAATATAGTAATATTCCATTCTATACAGTTTTAAAGGGAACAAAGGGGATAATGGGGACAACTGTAGTTGAACACAAAAAAAAAATAAAATAAAGACAGGCACAAACATAATACATGATGATAAGATATAAAGTCAATGACTGTTTCTGGAGATACTATTTACTGGGAAGAGGCACACAAGAACCACTCTGTGATTTAAAGGTTGTGGAGTAAGCAAATGTGTATTTGTTAGAACTGCTCCAACTATTCATTTAAGACCTTTGCACTTAATTGCATGCAAATTATGTCTCAATTAAAGATATATTCTTCTGTGATAGTGTGCATGGTAGAGAAATTTTTAAGGAGCTCTTATGAAAATTAATACAGTCCCACATATACTGGTGCTTCTTTCAATCTCACAATTTTCATCCAGATGGCTTAAATGTAAATGCTTGTTTAGCAAGTCCAGTAGCTAAGTACATGTCTATAAGCTTTTCCAATTAAAGATTTGAAAATAACTGTAAATGTAATGAATACATTCTGCAATAAAAATAACATCTGTTCTTTTTGTGTGAGGATTAATAAAACAATTCGTGACAAGAATGTTTGTGTTTAGGAGGAAATCCAAATTTTAAAGTGAAATTACTAATTAATGTAAGGAAATAATATTTAAAAAGTAAATGCAATGATGTGAGCATTTCACCTATACTTCATAAATGCTTACATGCACAATCTTCATTCAGTGGGAGTTTGAGGAAAGCAGGTGCTCTTTTTAAAAAAGACACTGTTAGGGTCACTTCTTCTCCAGCATTCCGAAGAACTTGAACCTAAAATTAAAAAGCATAAATAATACCATTATGAGTATGTTCACAAAATGTTTCCAATTGCAAAATCTTGAAATGATTTGTCGCCTTTCCCCCTTTGATTTTCTTTCTTAATGGTAAAAGATATTTTACAAAAGACAGAGGAGTAAATTATCTAACATTGTAGAAATACAGCCATCAGTGTTCTTCCTCTTTCTATCATTCTGTGGTCCCCTGTTCACATACAACATCATCCTCTTCCACTCACATTTATTGAGGTTTTCTTGAGTTTATGATCTATATTAGGCAAATATGAAGGATCATGAAGTTTACAGGAAAAATGGAGTGCTCAAACTACTATATTTATTAATTTAATATTTATTGAGCATATATTATGCAATATTTGGAGGTAAATAAATGACCCTGCAGATGTTCAGAAGGCTAATTTTATTGAAATAAAATCTTCCTAATTAACTCCTACCTTTTGCAAAATATGGGTATTATTTTTCTATTACACCATTGAACATTGTGTTTTCCTTTCTCTGAAAACTTAGAATAATAATGAAAACTATTATCAATAACCCTAAACATTTTCCAAATCATAGAATTAATAGGTCTCATTCTACCTGTTGAAATAATGGCAGTTTCTCAAAAACATCCAAAACAGGAGTAAAAATATTAAAACAATATAAAAAACTGAGGATTTATTTAAAGCAAACATACATAGAAAAGATATAAGTATATTTATACTTTTAAAAATTCACATAAACTAAGAGAATTAAGATAATTAGAGAAATAGTTGTTAATAGACATGAGAACATAACTTGATATAAAAAAGTTGGAAAAGATGATCAACTTCAAGTTATTAAAGAATTAGCTATCAAAATAATTTATAATAACTTCTGGTTCCAAGAAGATGGCATAGATTCATCTCTCCTTGCTTCCCCTCCCCTAATAAGTACAACTGTAAACGATGGGGAAAAGTGCAAGAGATAGCCCAAGGAAACCGAAAAGTAGAATAGAAAATAACCGTGATTAGGGACCCCGGGACTGAAGCAACAGGGCAGAGCAAGGATATTTTAAATGCTTTTACTCAACAGAGGGATCATCTACCCACTGCTAGGTAAAGCACCCCTTTATCCTAGGGGCACTAAGGAAAACTCCACTTCCTCAAACAGCACCAACAGGGAATAATAGGAGCCCTGGGGACACAAGGTAAGTCAATCAGATCAAAGCACCTATAAAGATCCTCTAAGAATCATATTGGCAATGAAACCACAGCCACAGACACAGAAGTAGGTTAGTAACATGTGTGCTAAAGAGAATGAATCCCTACTAAAAAGAACAAAATCTTAAATCAGTAGGCACTCCCTTAACATAAGCAAAATGGCCAGGATAAATTAAAATAACATGTCACTTTAAAAACCAGAAAAACATAATTTGAATGAGAACAGATAATACCAACTAGATGAATAACATACTGAAATTATCTAATAAGAAATTAAAAACCACTTTAATAAAAATATTTCAATAGAAAATACAAATTCTCTTTTGAACCAAATAAAAATTACAACATTTCAATAAAGAAATACAATTTTTTAAAAAATAACCAAACAAAAATTAGAGAATTAAAAACACAATAATATAAAATTTATTGGTTCAATAAAAGAAACCCAGAGAATAGAATAAGTTAACTTGAGAGTAGAACAATAGAATTAGCCCAATCTAAAGAACAGAGAAGATGTAGACACATATGCATAAAAAACAATATATTCTATCACCTTAACAGTAGAAAAAAAGGGTTTTAAAATTAAATATATAATTAATGCAATATATGCAAAAACATTTGATAAAACTCATTTGATAATGAGTATATAAATGAGTATCCATATTATAAAGACATTATTAGTGATGAATTTCTAACATTATTAGTGATGAGTTCTTAAAATATTTCTCACATCAGAAATCAAGCCAAAATGTCCACTATCTTCATTTTTTTCTTATTCTTCAGATATTAATTCAATGAGACAAAAAGTTAATGAAATGTATAATAATTAAAAAAGAAATTAAACCATTATTATTTGGAACATAGAAAATCCTTAACCTATAAGCATTATTACATGACACATTAATAGATTAGTTAATAAGCAAGTTTAGTAAGGAATAACATAGATACAAAGTTAATATACAAAGATCAATTGTTTTGATTTAATATCAATAAGCAAATATAACATTAATTTTAAATAAATGGAAGAGTATGCAATGTCATGGATTGCTTGATGATTGATATTGTGAAAATATCAAATCTCTTCTACTTTTCTATAGACAATCCCATTCAAAGCCTTACTTTTTTTATTCAGTTTGGTCTTAATATGAACTTGGCTTATGTTTTGCACTGTTTAATATTGATATTATCATTATTATATACTATATTGGAGTTTATGACTCAGTGAAACATTTGGAGCAATTGAATGCAATAAAAATTCATATTTTATAGTAAGTATACAATAGCTATTATATAGAGTTAAAATAAAGAAATAATAGCATGAACATCTTAAGTCTAAACATGACAATAGATTAGACATACATAAGTTAAAATAAATGTAGCTGCCTCAGAAATAGACAATGGGCATTTATTTTGAATTCAAAACTTTACATTTGCACTTCAGTTTTGAAGTTCTACTCATGTGTGACTGAGAAAAATAAAAACTCTTTTAAAAATTATAAAATCTCAATCTGGAAAGAGAGTTTTGTTTTATTCTTTCTCTCTTATTTTTGATTTAATCTTTATTGTCTTTTTTCCATTACCATTTAGACCTCTTATACCCCCCGCCCCCAGCAATCACCACACTAGTGTCCATGTCCATGAGTCATTTTTCCTTTTTGCTCAATCCCTCTATTGTTTTCAATAAACGATCAATTATGGATACCTTTCTGAGCAATCACAATTGCAATCTTCAATAGATCTTTTTTATATTAATGCAAAAATATTTATTTTTTTTAGTGAACAGGATGGGGATAATGTGTTTTAATTTTTTTCAGTTTTCCTACTACACTTTGAATGCATATTTCATCCACCTGATACTGTCAGCTTAGAAAATATAGGTTCTACATCATGAATAATGATAAATGTCATCTTCCTGCAAAATCAGAAATCTGCACCCATGTATCCAGTTGTTTTTTTCATTTTCATTCACATTTTGTAACACAAATCAAATACTATGCATTTTAACTAGATAATTCATTAACACAGTCATTGTCTTCAATGAATACATGGGCAAAGGGAGAGAAATTGGTAAATGATGGCAATCAGAAAGAATGGAAAAGGACAATGGAATTAAAATAGATTTTTATAAATTTACTGTATTAAGCCACGACACATCTAACAACTCAATTCATGAACTGAATATTCTTAAGTTCCATTCATCAGTTATGAAGGAAACTTTGTAAACTCGTTTTGTAATTTTTGCCCTTTTCTCCGTCCACCCAGAGGCCATTCTAAATGACATTTTAAGAAGAATTTAGGTATCTGCCAGTGTTTTGGTATATAGTCAAGAATATTCATAGTTGGGGACTGTTTTATATTTTCATTTTTTTCTCTGTGGCTGTGCAGAATTTTAAATTTCTCCCTGGGAAACTGTAATAATACATACTCATACACACACACACACACACAAGCATTCAATTTTAAAGACTTTATTTTTATAGAGAAGTTTTAAGTTCACAGCAAAATTGAGGGGAAATATGGAGATTCCTCATAGACTCTGTCCCCACACATGTATAACTTCCCCCAATATAACATCCCCCACAAAAGTGCTGCACATTTATATTTGATGAACTGATATTGACATATCACCCAGAGTCCATAGATTATATTAGGGTTCACTCTTTGTGTTGAAGACTTTATGGGTTTGCAAAACTGTGTACAGGCAGATATGCACCATCATATCATACATACTATTTTTAGTGCTCTAAAAATTTTCTGAGCTCCACCAAGTCCTCCTTCTCCCCCATCCTAATCTAAAAGATTGTTTTTAATTGATGAAAAGAGGAACTTCTGCTTTGCCTGGACATACTGTAAGCACACATCAGGAATCTCACAACACACACATATACATACACACACACACTCTTCTTCCGTGGCAACCAGCGCACTGAGTCAACTCATAGTTAGTAGTTTAGCATGATGCCTAACAACAAAATAAGATTTAGATTTCAAGAGAGGAAGACAACTATTGTTGCTCACTGATGGTCATGATGGACAACAGTTACATAGATTTTCACATTAACATTGGACTCATCCATCTTGACATTTTGTTAAGTTTAGTAAATCTTTGGCTTAAAGTCCTGACTCCTAGCTGAAATAGGAAATTAAATGTTACTTCAAGGAATGATTTTAACTAGGATGCTTTCCAAACAAAACAATAACACTAAAAATAGATACAATAACGTGCTTTACTGTTCATGTTAAAGTATGGGTTACATGTGGACACTAAATAAATAAGTAATTTTGTATGGAATAGTATTAGATTTTGGGGGGAGTATTTGATTTATTAGATATGTTATAGGACAAGAGCTTGAAATGAAACTGTAATTTAAAGGTTTTCTTAAAATGGGCTATAGAGTCCTCTAGTCATTGTGTATCTACCTTCTATTGTGAACCAAAATTCATTTGAGGCCCTAATAAAGAATAAAAACCATTTATGTGAGCAATAAAAAGAGCTGCAACCTGGGAGACATTGATCAAGGTAGCTACCTAAATTGTGCTCCACTGAGACAAAGGGTGGGCCACCTTTTGTGGTTAAAGTTCTACCCAAGTTGCCAATTAGTTTCATTTTATGTAAATGTCAATATTGTATAGTTGCGATTGGACAGTGCAGGTCTCAGTCCATTGGTAGAGAGATGAAACCAGGTTCTCCTTGCCATAGTTGACTCAGATGACATAAACAAGTGGTGCATAGTGTAGTAAACTGAGAGTTCACTCTGGGCTTCTTCCCAGCCTGCAAAGTATGTGAGAAGCCTTT